CAAAATATAGCAAAGGGATTTGGGAGCCCCAATGCCACTTGAAATTGATGATTCTAACTGTTGTTCATGAATTTATTATCACGGAATCGTAGCGGGGAGGCTAAAAAAGACCGTCTAGCCAACCTCAAATATTGGAGCGAAGACTCATCTTAGTGTAGAAGATTTCATCCGCTTTCTCAATAGGAGAAGATTTCGTGGAGGCAAAGAGATGGGATGAGAGAGAGTTGTTCGAAGTGCCTCCCCTTCTTGATTAGGGAGGGTTAGCTTTTATACCTGCGAGGATGAGTTGGTCATATGGGGTCAATTTACTATGGTCGGCTTCTTGAGCGGTCGACTTAAGCTTTTGTATAAGTGTCGATTGACTTATACGGATCGGTATCGTGTGACGTCGTCCCGAGCTTTTCGGAGTGGCTGTACTGTGATGATGTCGTTCGTACGAAGGGGACAACAAGCGGCTACCCGTCACGTGTGTGTTGTGTGTCACATTATACTTGAGGTTTCACGTCTACATCATCGTGTCTGTTTGCTTGGGTCCACGTGGGCGATGCCAAAATATGCTCTATCAAGATTAATCATTCCTATTGGACACTGCATTATCTAATAAGGATAACAAGATTCTAATTTTATAAAATTTTATCATATTAACATATCTTAGTACATAATATCACGGACTTAGTTAGAATTGCTTAAGTCGTGAGATACATTTACGGTAAAGTTACGAACTTAGCTGGGTTATTTAAGTCGTAAAACACCCTTACGTCAATTCTTTGGACTTAACTGAAATTACTTAAGTAATGAGATGTTTTTGTAATATATGCATTCATAAAGGGTCAGCTTAGTTACAACTTGGTATAGGTCTCGAAGGATCTGTATAATAAAAAATAGATTAATTTGAAAACGAATGACGGATAAATCCAGACGTCTCGCTTTACAAATAACTCGAGTTATCATTCTTTTTGACTTTTAACTCTTTTCACTATCTAAGCTCTGTTTCTTCGGGCTCGAATTAATGAGTAATTTTTTTAAATAATAATAATAATAATAATAATAAACCTACCTACCTTTTTTATACGTCCACCAACCTCCCTTCTCCCCTCGAAGCCAATTGCAACGACACCCCACATCGCACCACCACCAACCAAACGCGCAGACTCCTCTGTTGCCATTCCCAAGCCCCATCACCACCACCCAAAAACTAGAAAGCCCACTTCTTTGTCTCCCGATCTTCCACCACCATGGCGGCCTCTTCCCTCATCCACCCATCTTCCTCCCCTCTCCTCCTTCGCCGTCGTGCCCTCCTCGTACGCCGCCGGCCTGCCGTGGCCCCCATCCGAGCCCTCTCAGTCCCCGCCGCCCTCGCCCAGGACGACCTCAAAAAGCTTGCCGCCGTCAGGGCCGTCGAGTACGTCAGCAGCGGCATGGTCCTCGGCCTCGGGACCGGCTCCACCGCCGCCTTCGTGGTCGCCGAGATCGGGGCCCTCCTCTCCTCTGGCAAGCTCAGCGACATCGTCGGCGTGCCGACGTCCAAGCGCACCTATGAGCAGGCTCTGTCCCTGGGGATCCCGCTCTCCACTCTCGATGCCCACCCGCGGATCGATCTCGCGATCGACGGCGCCGATGAGGTCGACTCCTTGCTCCGCTTTTGCTCTTTTTTGTCTTCTGCGGTAGAAAGTTGAGATTTTTAGCTTTTTTATTGTGCTTTGTTGACTACGCTTGAGTAGCATTGACCTTTTCCCTATAGTAAACATATACTGGAACTCTGCCTCCTCTTGTGTTGGAAAAAAACCAACAGAGATGACGACTCCTTTGTAAGAATATATCCTTTTCTTCTTCTAAAGCTTCTGGTTTATCAATTTGCTGGGTATTGTCAATGCTTAGGAAATGATCCAATGAATCAATCTCAGATTTTTTTTTTTTAATCTTTAAACTTGCAGAAACAATTGGGTCTCTGAGTTATCTGATCGCATGCATCAAGATGAATAACTGTAATTCTTTGTGCGGGACTCCGATTAGTCATTGCTGTCAATGGAATTCAATGGCAGAAAAAGACCCATGTACCTGCCCCTAAAATGTTGGAATTAGGGGCTCATTTTTGTTATTGGCTAAGAGCAATAAGCATGATCACAATCATGGTTATGGCCAATCAGTTATTGATTGCTTCAAGTCGGAAGAAAAATATTTTCTGACCATTAGTGGTATCAAAACTTTTACTCGTGAAAATTTGACTTAGATCCTATTGTTAGACAATGTTCCATTCCTTGTAACATGTGACAAAGGACATTAACAATTCCATTCAATAACCTGGTAAAATTTCTTTTGGCTTCTAGCTGTTCTCTTTGCACAGACCATAGATTATATAGACTTAGATGACTATATGACTGGTTTCTTCGTTTGAGTTTTACAGACTGTGATTTGGAATTGTAACAGGTTGATCCAGATCTTAATCTTGTAAAAGGACGCGGAGGGGCTCTGCTTCGTGAGAAGATGGTTGAGGCAGCATCTGATAAGTTTGTTGTGGTGGCGGACGAGACAAAACTTGTAACTGGATTGGGTGGAAGTGGACTAGCAATGCCAGTGGAAGTAGTGCAGTTCTGCTGGAAGTATAACCAGATAAGGTTGCAGGAATTATTCGAAGGAGAAGGATGTGAGGCTAAGCTTCGGTTGGATGGTAATGGCAAGCCTTATGTGACGGATAATTCAAACTATATCGTCGATTTATACTTCAAGACACCTATTAAAGATGCAACAGCAGCAGGAAAAGAGATTTCATCATTTGAAGGGGTTGTAGAGCATGGGTTGTTTTTGGACATGGCAACCGCTGTTATAATTGCAGGGAAGGATGGGGTGACTGTGACCGCAAAATAAGTTCATTCCACAGGATGCAGTGTCCTAAATTGACCTATCTTGCATTTCTCCGATGTGGAATTAATTATATAGCAGAGTGTTGGGCAACAGATAAAGACTATGTTTTATCATTTCTTTCAGTCAATTCTCTTTTTACTGAAATCAAACATTAGAAACAAACAGGCTTTGCTACAAATATATGAACTGAGTGTAGGATGTGTATTCTCATTCTTCTGATGAACACAAAGGGATGAGAAAAGGGACCATATTTATGCTTATATCTTTTGTCCTCTGAAGCATTGAAGAATTTGTATCTATCTTTTCGCTCTCTTAGATTATTCTTTCCTCTTGTCAACAACTTTAGTTGGACTGATGCCATGATTCACTAAATACTCAATTTTTTTTATTATTAGTTGTCTTGATTTCCAAACTAAGGCAGTGTAGGCTACTGATGCACTAAGAGAAAGTTGTTTCTCGTAAAAGCAAAGTATCATCATACATTATAGAGTATGCCTCTGTACAGCTTGCTTGAGGGTATTCTGCATGGTTATTTGAGATATCATTTTCTCATGTTGGGCTGCTAATTTTGTTCTATTCTTATTAATGCAAATTATTACATGCCTTTTTGAGACATTGACCGCACAGGAAATTTTGTTATTCTTCAGCTACTGCACCTACACATGAGGAGGGAGATCGAAGACATCTCAATCCAAACCCTTAGCTTACCCTCAAGCTTTTTGGTCCTGAACTTTCAGTTTTTTGAGCTCCCTTTTGTTCTACTTATCTCATGCATGGACAGAGAATGACTTCAGAGTAATACATGGAAAATTGCTTTTCTTTGGTTTTGCTTATCTTATGCATGGGCTGCTAATTTTGTTCTTTTCTTGTCAATGCAAATTAGGACACATTTGAGACAGAATGCACAGAGGAAAGATTGTTGGTCTTCATCTATCACATACAGATGCGGATGGATCTCAAATAAGTGAAATCCTAAGCGTAACTTTTGTCAGGAATTCTGAGTTGTTGAACTTTCTCTTTTATTTAGTTTTTCTTTGCTTATTTCATGCCTGGAAAGAAGGGATTCAAGCAATGGACTGGTGTTTAGCAAGAGCCACCTCCATTAGATATGTGCTACCATAGAGGTTTATCATTCTAGGCATTCCTGATGACCTCAAGGGTTGTCACATTTCACAAATACTGTGTAGCAGGCATTCATGTACTTGCTTGTTTCATGCAATTGAATCTGCAGCATTTTTTCTTTCTACAAAGAAATTGTTGGTAACTGTCTGCTTTAAAATTAGGTGGTCTAGTTGGGATCTGTTGTTGCTGTCTTGTTTAGTGAAGCAGCCATTCTTAGGCAGATAGATCACTCTTGTGCTTCCCATAGGTGAAGGTGCCTCAATCATAACATTCCATGAACAATGAAGTCCCAATTTACATTTTGTAGACAAGCAACAGGAGAGCCATTCAGAATTCAGCTTAGCAGACCAACTTGCTACTTTCTCAAACATGAATTAGGATGTGCAGAGTAATCAGAACTTGCAGTCTCATAACAATGCCATTGTTAAACCTGAACCTTCATCCAAGCAGGACAAAAGGTTGTACACAGGCAACGGGAGAACCATTTAGAATTCAGCTGAGCATACCAACTTGGTAGTTTCCCAAACATGAATCGGGCTGTGCTGAGGCATCAGAGCCTGCAGTCTCATAACAAACAATAGTAAAAGTGTAAAACAAAAATCATAAAGTCTCATCACAAGCAACAATGGCATTATTCTGAACTACACTTCATTCAAGCAGGGCAAAAGGTGGCACACAAGCAACAGGAGAACCATTTAGCATTCAACTCAGCAGACCAACTTGCTGCTTTCTCAAACATGAACCAGGATGTGCATCAAACATGAGAGTTAGCAAACATGCTGGAGTCTCATAACGACAAATTATACTTCATTCAAGCAGGGGAATATGTTGTTGATGCCATCACGACAAATGATAACAAAAATAAGTCGACAGTTTGCTATCATCAAAGTAAAATGACTATATCTTAGCTTGTACCACATCTATGAGGATGCATAACTAGTAGTTCCACAATTATACAAGCACCTGCACCTGAAAATTTTATCCATTGCCATAATACACTTGTCAACAGGAGAAGATGGTAAAGAGGCTCTTGTAACATTTGAGTATCAAGCTAATCTCGAGGCTAGTACATGCATTGTTCGAAAGAGAATCAGCAGCTAATCTCAAGCTAAATTGTCAGCCTACCAAGCTACTTCATATCACAAAACTGATTCAACAATTTTAAAATCTAGTATCAAAGAGTATGGTATATGAGCATCTTAAGATGGGTTTCTATGCAAAAGACACTAGGCCTAATATATTGAGTTACAGTATGGTTTCTTTGAAGCTCTTGGTCAGCCATATTGCAGTTTCTCGGGGGGAGACTTTGCCAGGACCAAATGGCTTCAGTAAGACCCCCAACTCGTCATACCTCTCCTGTTGTAACAGCTGGGCACTGAATTCCAGCAGTCCCTCCAAGGCCTCCGCCCGCTGCTGGTATGATGAGGTGTCAAACCTCCGCTGCCTTGATTCTGATGATCCCCGGCTTGAAGCATCTGCGGCTGTCGGATTCCGATCTGAAGAATCACTCCCATTATCACCTTCCACTCGGAAGATTTGGATCGTGCATTTATCCTTGGTGATTGAACGATCTCCATAGTGTGGAGTGGCTGAAGAAGAGCCATGAGCTGAAGAAAGTTTACGAATAGATAATAGGGGTTCTTCGTATGAGGCTAATGGAAATTCTGCAATTCTATCTATTCGAGGGGAGTTGACAGACACATCAGGGGATTCCACTCGGCGGAGACTGCCGAGACTTGATTTTGGACGAGTTTCAAATGTTGGTAAAGGAAGAGATGCTCTTCGAGTGGTTTGACCAATTCTATCTGATGGAGTTTGCGATGCAAACTGCATAAGTAAAAGTAGCACTTGTGAGAGCAGTCATAAATGAAATAGCATACCTACAAGCAGTGTCCACCGCATAAAACTAGTCATAAAGCCTGTAATCCAGATATCTAGTCATATAATTTAGAGCATTTCAACTAGCCAAAACATTATACAGATTACAGAGAGCTCATGTGTGAATACCACCGACAGTGAACTTACCCTAAAGAGACATGATCAAGAAAACACAGCTAAACTGACCGATAGTTATCATAACAACAAAAGCATTAAATTTAATCCTTCCTCGAAAAGAGATCACAAAAATTAGTTCTGACACATTTCTCCCATCAACATGGAACACTGAAAACGTATGCGCTTACTGAGGCAGTATATACAGAAAAGGGGTGCTTGATTTGATGTGTCTCTTCAATGTTCCATGTGAAATGTCTCAAAAGTTTTAAACTTCTAACAATCAGGTTTAGAAAAAGAATGTTCTATATTTGAGAAATCAAAGGTGAAAGTTTCTTAGTAAAAGAATACTAACATTATGCTTAATGGTAATGAACATATGAGCAGGTGTACTTGGCCATACCGATTCACGCTTCGGTCCAGTATGTGATGCCTTTGAGGACTCTACTCGCGTCCTTGGAGTTGTGAAGTTTTTAGTAGGCGTGTGTCTTGGTGTCTTCAGGATATTTGAGTACTTCCCATCGATTGCTTTGTCAATACCTATCTCCCCAACTTGACTGCTGCCAGTTGAAAGGTTCCTTACCCTTTGGTTCAGATAATTAGGAAAATCTTTAACAGTCTGAGTTGAACTGAGGGAGTACTGCTCCACAGTCTTGTTCAGTTTTAAGATTCTCTCATTGCCGAAAGATTTTCGTTTCTCCTTATGCACCGAATCATCTGCATCATCCTGAAATCTGATTTTTCTGATGTGATTGGTTGTAATATGGTGGATAGGGAGCATATTCCGCATAGGGCTAGACTTTAGGTTGACTTGAAGCACATAAGGTTGAAGATGTGGATGCTTGAGCAGTTCTGCAGCCTGTTGATATGAACAACCACATGAACTCTACACGTTTAGGAAGATATATGGTAACAAAAACTACTTATAGCATCATAAAGTGTCAAAGAAGCTTTCGGCACTTGAATATAATGTCTCTATAGACATACACTTGGCCTATGTTCAGGGCTTTTTCTTAGCATGCTTCTAATGAGTCCCCTGCTGCACAGAGTAATAAAGATTTGTCAAGATAATCAATCTTTGGATCTACTATTGACACAAAAAGAATCTGGAAAAGACAAGAATAACAAGGGCATACAATGGACCAGAGTATGAACTTGGTAAAGGAGCCACTATGGACTTGTTAATTTTGTTTATCAAAGCCTGCATATCCTGCATAACAACAAAACATAGGAAAAGATCAAGATAGGAGACAAAATTACACTAATAATGTCAGATATAAGTTGCATAATATATTTATCAATTAAATATAAGAAACAAAGAATAACCATTTTCGTATCTCAATAGTTAAATCAGACAAATTGTAGCTTAAATGTATGCATTTTAAGCTACAATCAGGTTTTAGTGCACAATCCAGATCAAAATTTAAATACAGTATCTTTTTAACAGATTAACAGATGACAGGGGTAATATTTTGACTGTAGTTTTTTAAAAATTAACTTGAAAATACTTAGGGTTGAGATACAGAAAGGTATTCTTTCAGAAAATTACAAACAATGTCCCCATGTAATAACTGTGTATCCTGGAATATATTCATAAGCATGTCTATGTTTTGGACAAATGACACTCGTTTTACATGTCATGTACAAGCAACACGATTTTTTTTTCACCAAAACAAGCAAAAGTTCAATTCAACACACATCAAGGAAGAGTTATGACCTAAACTGGACAAGAGAACATGAGATCCATATGATGAAGTTTTGTTGTTCTATCTCCTTTTTCCACCTAGCAGAACTTTTCTTTTTACATGAAGCATCACCAAGAGAGAGCATTGTCGTAAGTTATGAAATGATTAAGTGATAGGGAACTATCCATTTAAACATGTCCAAGAGTAAATGAATTCGTTGTTCAGTGACAGACAAAATCATATGTAATAACAGAGAAGAGAGTTCCTGTTACTTAGAGTTGAATCTTAAAGCCCAGTTGATTATCCAATTTACTGAAACTTACAAAAGCTTTGAATGTGGGCTTGAGGGCAGTCATCTCATAGATACAACAGCCTGGATAATTAAGAAACTTTATGTGAAAAACCATGTAGTTTGGGAATGATGAAAATGGCATCTTTGTGACCCCAATGAGATAGACTTTACCTAGAGACCAGATATCAGACTTAGAGCCATAAGGTATATCAGCAAGAAGTTCTGGACACATATAACTAGGAGTTCCAACAACCTGCATCAGGAGCCCACAGCTCTCAGTGATAAGAAATGAAATGAGTCTTTTAAGATGCATTTGTTTTAATGCAGCTTCAACACTCACTGAACAAGCCAGATCATCTGAGGTTAAAATTTTAGCAAGCCCAAAATCACCTGTGGGATTATTCAATTTCATGAAACTATGCCAGGGAACGTCTTAAATTTTAAATAATCAGTAAAATGACATTCTCCACAATGAATATAATTAATTGACATAAACAATACTTACCAAGGCGTATGCTTTGATCTTTTGTGAGAAATATGTTTGAACACTAGAAAATAATATTGCAACATAATCAGTAAACATAAGCTTTGCATCTATCATATCATTATATAAAGAAGACACCCATTAGCATCAAACTGCCACTTACCTTAACATCACGGTGAAGAATGTGATTCTTATGCAGGTAATCAAGTGCCATAAGGAGCTGGACTAGCCATTTACAAAGCTTCTGCACACAGTCAATAGAAAAGAACTTGAGGATGCACAGTATAAACAAACTGCAAAATGCAAACTTTTACTTAACAAATGTATTCTAGAAGTATGCCAGAAATTTTTATCAAAATAAACAACCTCCTCGGGAAAAAGATGTCCATTGGCCTTCTTTATGGCTTCAGCCCTGTCAAACCACAGAAGAATAGATCTAAGTGTCATCAAAAGTGAATTTACAACTACCAGATCTAACTTGAAAGCACAACTTACATGTCACCTCCCTCACAATAACCTATTACGATGCATACATAGCATCCCTAAAATCAAGCAAAAACAATTAAAGCCATTACAAGAAAATAAACCAACGAGAATGAGAGTAAATGATGCCATCATAGATATAAATATGAAGAGCGCCCCACCAAAAAATAAAGGAATTTAGGAAAATATATCATATACAAGTTGAGAGTGGAAATCTAGCTATAACAAGATGATATATTTTGCATTCACAAACCTTGAGCATGAATGATAAAAATACGACAATCAACACATTTACTGATAAGATGATCAGAAATTGGTACTAAGTTACCGATTTAAACATCATAAGAATCAAACTCTTTCTTATTGAAGTAATCATTAATTCATTATCTCCTGAATATTTGATAAAAAAAAAGTCAGAAAAATGGATAGCTCTGAGAATAAACTCTGCAAATTCCTATATTGACATGTTTGCCACAAAAGTTCTTGAGGTGTATATACAGGCATCCTGTGCATCACAACATGGTATAAATGTATCACTAAATTTATTGTTATACGGTACTGTCAGTAGAACAAATTCTTCCAAACCTTAACCATCTCAGACATCACAAGCGATCAGAAAAAGCAATTCCTTTTTTTTTCCATTTCTGGCATTACTTAGGATTGGAGAGCTAACTAGGGTAAGGCATGGGATAAGGGAGGTGATTGTGGGACCATCAATCGGGTCTCCTGGCACTTACTAAACTTTCAAATTAGCTGCCTTAGCCATGGTTAATTGAAGAGGAAAGTAGAATTCAACCAGATATGACAGCAATAGCCACATGACAAGATCCAAATGAGTTTTAGATGGATAATTGGAGCGTCATAAAGTTGCTTTCAAGAATATCATTATACGAGAGAATAATCCTATGAAATGAAAGAAGGTATATAACATAAATCATATATGAAAACTTATGTTTGCTCAAATATTTTCTAGGATTTTAAAATTGCAAACCAAATGCAACTAAGAATTCATGTAGTACTGAGATATTCCTGTTATGACATAGAAAGGAGAAAATAGAATAGCAGATTTCATGTGCACCATTATTTAGGTCAGAGGAGGAACTTACGAACCTTTTCAACCCAGGAATCTCTGTATTCCACAATAAATGGATTTTGTACTTTAGAAATAAGCTCCATCTGCAAGTTTGAGAAAGATAAGCAAGGGAATAAAAGTACAAGATACTCACCAACTTTTCACAACTCATGTAGCATATAAGTGAAAATGTGAAATTGCAAACAAACGCCACATAAATGCATAACAACAGACTGAAATCACCGTTATTATCATCTGATCTAATCCTTCTTTCTTTCGCATCAAACATGGAGCCAGCAATATAGTGCAATTCTTACTCAAGTAGGCCAACACCATTGTAAAGGTAAGTATAGGGGAAAAAGGAACTTTGCCACAATGTGTGTCTAGTGCAACAAGAATTAGTCCTATCTCAGGGATGAAAAAGAAAATCCCAAATTTGTACAATGAAGATGTTAAATGTCTAAAAGAGAAAAAGAAAGCCAAGGTGAAAATGGATACATAAAAATCAATTAGCTAGAAGAATTTTGAAATGTGGACGTAGCAAAGATGACCACCTCCTGGTGGGCAGACCGCCGGGTCCTGTCGGTCTGGCGAGCTAGACGGATCTTTTTCAAGACATACCTGCCACCACATTCAGGAAAAGGAGTAAACACGAGGAGACAGGAGAAAAAACGGAACAAAGAACTGAAACAGGAAATGGACGGATCAGTGGCTTTCCTCACCTTTTGTTCTCAACCTTATGCCGCACCAGTAGAGCTGACCCAAATGCCCCTTTCCCTATCTGCTCCAAAACCTCATACTGCTCCATTTTAGAACCCTAGCTCGCCCAACCTATTTCCAGAAACAATTCTGCACAAGCCACACCAAAATCACTATAAAACATTTCTCCTCAATTTCTTAACGAGATTTCACCAGAAAAAGGAACTAATTTAATGTGGGTTAGGACCACAGGCACAACAAAAGCAGAGATTTCGACAGCAACAAAACCGAATGCACATCATTTTCTTGCGCTTTTTCCCCCTCTCGGTAAAGAGAGTCGCCCAAACCAAATGCATCTCAGGAGGAGCAAAAAATCAACATCTTAAATGAGGGTTTTGCCGAGAATCAGAGGGAAGCTGCTGGGGATTCGAACCAGGGAGAACTTGATGTAAGAACAAGGCAGAACACGCATTGGGATGCTCAGAACTTCACTGTCCCGGGCGCGGATCGACGCTAGATCTCAGTCAAGAACTCGCATTTGTAGCTGGAATCTCGCGAGAGACGGGGGCACGAGCTCCTCACTCTCCCTTCTTCTTCGTAGTCATCTTCTTCTCCTCCTCCTCCTCGTGCTCCCCATTTGAGGCTCGAATCACATTGTACAGTACTAGGGAGAGAGAGAGAGAGCGAGAGGCGGCAAGTTGTGCTAAAAGGAGAAGATGATTGCGGATTTCAAAGTCTCTCTCTCTCTCTCTCTCACTCTCTCTCTCTGTGTGCTGCTGCTTTTTGCTTTGCTTTATTTTGGCAACCCTTTTCTTTTCGGTGCAACAACACAGAAGACAAAGAGGTCTCTCCTCAGGGAGAGGGGAAGGGAACAGTGGTGGGAAGAACTGTTGAGGGACGCGAGGAAGAAGAAAAATGACCACGTACACAAGGCCATCGACCAACGCAATAGCCCTGCCAATCACGAACAGTCACGACCTCAATATCACCAGGGACCCACTTTCTAAGTATACGAGGCTTGTTCTAGTTGGATATCTGTCGTGCGGCGTGCCGTGGGGTTAACGCGCACGAAACGCCCACGAGGGACGAAATGACTCCGCAATGCACGCGGACACGCGAACCGTAACCAGTCCAGTCACTGGCCGCCACGACCTACGCCGACACCAGGTAATAGTCCCACGAACCACGTGGCTTCTTCCACTTGGACCTCTTACCGTGTTTCATGTTGTTGTACTCAACCCGAACGAGCCCTACGTCTACCAGCTTCCACCACCAGCCTAATCTACCCACCGATGGAAGACTATGCGTGGGTCCCTTTACCACAGGACCGGTACGTCAGGAGACACATCAAGCGGGTAGATTAAGTTTTTTATTTCCGGAGATCTAACACGATCCTTTTTCCCCTACCACCTGAATCGGCACCCCGGTCGTTTACTTCTCACGGAGATCTCTGGGGCCCACCACGGAGGCCGCGGATCCCTCCAGTAACCTGGAGGGTAGACAACCGAGTAAAGTCAATTGGGAGTTGGACCGTGGAATAGAGAAAAGGCAGGACACGTCACTGTTCGAGTCCACGGCTTTAGCTCGGACAAACAAGCAAGAAGAGTGAGTGGGTTTGAGCATTGAAGTCATATGAGATTGTTCTTCTCGCCCATTATTTCTTATTGGCTTCTTGTCTTGTTGCGAAGGGGCGTATTATTAGGACACCACGCCTCCTCCTCATAAAGCTCTTAAAGACTTTTTGTATGGAAGCGCTCGGAGGAGATGATGAAATAGGAAACAGCATGGGAAGAAAATATTAACTTTGCTTCTTGGAATATAAGTTCGGAATTGCATAAATATAACGATATAATAATCCTTTATCAGCGATTGTCGATCCAAAATCAACCAATCCACCTTAAAATAACCCACTAGTAAGCACCCGATTACTAAGGACATGATGATCAGCTTCATATATGGAATTTAATGTGTTATAGAACTATTCAAACAATTTATGATATATTTTCGATGTTCTCGTTAAAGTCTTTTAATACTATAATTTTAATTATTATCTGAATACAATAGAAGAGTTCAAGTTTTTAGCCTAATCTTTCGATTCTATCAATTGATAGTCATCTTGATTATCTTTGACTCGAATAAATCTCTTAAAATATATATATATAACCTAAGAAAATATAAAACAAATAATATATATATATATATATATATATATATATATATATATATATATATATATATATATATATATATATATATATATATATATATATATATATATATATAT